TCACATCTTCAAGTAAACACTGCCCGTGGAATCAAGTATGATGGTAAATGGACTTGAGCTTGTATCCACCCACTCACACCCTGATGGTAGAGGAAAGTGTCCATCAGTATTAACTAATCCCATTCATACACATTTATACGCCGACGATGAAGCAGCGGGAGAAACTTGGGGTTAAGTGTCTTGCCCAAGAACACATTGGACATGTAGCTGCAGGAGCTGGGGATCGAACCCCAGACCTTCCGGTTGAGAGAGGACCGACTTGACCGATAAAGTCACAGTCGACCTAAAAAGTGAATTGAAAGTTGGCAAAACTAGGTACAACTTTAATGGAATTATTAAAGTGTCCCAGGCCTTTCTTTAAATCTCTGAAATCAGAAGGAGGCAGCCATTTATTTGAAGCAGGCTGGTATTAGATTAACCAAATATTAGTGTCTGATACATGTTGGATTACAGACACAGGACAGTTTTTTCTGTTGGTTATTAATACAGCTGTGTTTGAAGGGTAAACTTTAAGTTGATTGAAAATATTTAGAATCCTTGGGGAGAAAGAAAGATGATAAAATAAATAACTCTGATGCCACTGTAAACCAGCATTACTGAGGCGGCTGTGTGGATCTGATGTTTGAAGGAAAGTACTACAGTATATTAAAAAAACATGTACATATATCAATATGCCTCTTCCTGATGTGCACTATCTCTACTGCAACTGTGCAAAACACACAGAGTGATGGATTGACCTTGAGTGACTTTAATGGACGTCAAAATTTGTTTTATTTTAATTTCAGTACACGTCCATGTGTCAATGTTAAAAGTTTTCCCTGCAGAGAATATATAGTAGTGGGGGTAAGTTCATGTACATGCAGGGCTTTAGTGAACATCAGAGTGGGATTTTAAAAAGATCAGAAATCTATAGTCACAGAATGTACAGTTTAGTATTGAATATGAATGTTGTGCATGCATTTAAAGACAGCCTTCACTGCTGAACATGTGCTGGGCTGGCAGCTCATCCTTCTTATTTGACCTGTTTTCTCAGTGTGTCTGTTCTGCTGCAGTGTATCAGATATGTCTATCATTCCCCAAGAAAGCCTGACATGAGGGTTTCCATCTTTGTCTTTGCCCTTCCTTTTTTCTACTCTGTGTGTACATGGATCCCAGAGGAAGGGAAAAGGGCAAAGATGGTCACCAGTACAGAAGACTACAAGATGTCCATGATGGTGGATCATCATGTTAGGAGGGGAGGACATAAAGGAAGGATCCCTCGCTGCTTACGCTCACCAATGTTTGCACTGCACAGGCGAAACGGGTGTGTGTGTGTGTGTGTGTATTGTGCAGAGAGACTTGCACCAACAAGAGGTCAAAGCAAGTGTCCTTGCCTGCCAATCAAGTGCACACCACAGGGATTAACCAAACTCCTCAAACACACGGCTTGCATTTGCACTTCCCCCGGATTCCACCAGGTGGAGCTCTGAATCTGTGATCCTTGTTGTGCATGCAGCATGCCCCATTCCTCCCTCACTCCTCCCCTTTTCTCTCCTCTCTCTTGGCGGAGAGTCCCTATCACCTCACCTAATTCTGTCTGCTTCATTTTATGCCGCGCAAAGCTGACAAATTCCTAGGGTTTGTGAAGGAGGATGGCAAATATTCACATACATAAGGAGAGACAGTCAGAGGTAGAGAGAGACAGAGAGAGAGAGAGAGGCTTGTGCGAGCTCACATGCTTTACTTATTTTTTGGAGCTTACTGATGCAGCGGTAGATATGCATGATGTTGCAAGAGCCATTAAGGAGAACAGACAGAGAGTGGATGAGACTTGGGAGGACCGCTGGGGCTGTACGATAACTGCGGCTGGAATCCAACGCTTGTCTCGTCGACTGCAGGCTATTTTGAAAAGCCAGATATGATGTGAGCTCCAATGGGAAGAGAGGGAGCAGACAGTAGAGCGAGAGAGCACGGTTTATGTTTTCAATTAAAGATTAGATGATGTAATTAAAAGTATCCACCAAATTAAACCTGACTTAATGCAGTTAGAGAAATAAATTCCTTGTTTTTTCCATTCACACACATTTGAATTTTATAAAAATAAAAAATAAGATGCTTGTGATTATTTTATGTTGGACTAAAAAAAAACAGTATTGTTATGATTAGTCTGTTTCACTGGAAAGCATTACACTGTAATGTGTCCCCCTTGTCATAATCTCCTTCTGTTATCTCATTTATTGTTATTTCTGCACATGTTTTTGAGATCACAGTGTACTTTTGTTGTAAACTGTGAAATATGAAACAGATACATTTGGTTGTTAAATCAAGTTTTTACCAGCTCACTCTTTTACCCAAGTTTAAGTCCTTTTTATGTTTTGATGTTCTTTAAAAGTCTTATTCATGCTTTTATCGCAACACGTCTGGTCTACTGTAATGCACTCTGACTTGGCGCAAGTCAGGCGTCTCTGTCTCACCTACAGTCGGCGACTTCAGAGCTCTATAACACTGAGAGGTGTGCAGAGCAGATGACATCATGACATTCAAAACGTGAGGTTACAGTTTCTTCAGCCATGTTTCTTTTTCTCTTGTCTCTGACGATGTCTTGTGTGAAGCACTTTGAATTGTCCTGTTGCTGAAAAGCTCTAAATATGAAACTGGCCTTGCTTTGCCTTACAGTTAGTCCAACATGCTGCTGCTCGTCTTTAAAGCGAGAACACATCTCCCTCCACTGGCTCTTTGTTCATTTTAGGATGGATTTTAAAATGTGACTGTTTGTTTTTAAATCATTACACCTGTCAGCGCCACAATATATCATATTTATTATATTCTGACCAGTTTTTTTGAGATGTTCAAAAAACTAGGCTGAGGAGGCCATGTTTTTTTCAGATATTAATCCTAACCACTGGAACAAGCTTCTCCTGGTGGTGAACAACACAGTTAAACTGTCTTAAAAATGTCTATGTTTTATTGCTTTACACAGACTTTGTTAAGAAAACCTCAAACACTTGGAAGCATTACCTTCCAGCGTTTTATGCATATAACTGATATTAGTACAACTACATGTGTTTGATCGTTGACTTCCTGTGACCCGTGTAAATGCGAGACCTCAAAGCATCAGCAAAGTGCTCAATGATCAGCTGACTATCAGTCCGGGGAGTAAACACAGGGTCAGAGGTGGTCAATGTCATCGATACCTTTCCCTCTTTTGTTTCTTGGGAGGGATGGTAAATCTACAGGGCTCTTCAGCCGCATGTATGTCAATTAGAGTGATCCCCTGGGCATTTCAGCTGCTTTGTTAGTTAATAGAGATGGTCTGAATGCACGGTGTGGCTTGTTCATTCCTGCTCAAGTCCTAAACTGAGAATATTTTTAATAACAACCTTTAAGACATGGACTGACTTGACATACTGGCAGGATTGCTAGAGCTCCAAATAAACTCAAATTGAGAAAAATATTTGATTTTCCCAGCAGAATCCGAGCATCCAAAGCTTATTGAAAGTTAACACCAGCGCATAAAGTGATAACCAGCTGATAATGGTTTCTCAGACGAGCACGTGTGTTTATGTGCATGTGTTGCTTTCTTGCTTGATGTTCATTATGGAGCCGTGGTAGGAGGAGTCGGCTGAGGCAGTAAATCTTTAAAATTGTGCTGGCCTCCAAAAAGCCATTAAGCCAGTCTCACTCTGTTGACCACACATAGTGGAACATATTTGACCCTGACAGACAGTACATGTGTGTGTGTGAGTTTCTTTGAGTGTGTGTGTGTGATCATCTGCCTCTCATCCTCTGAACAAGTCCAGCACAGGCTATTAAAACATCAGCTCCACAGGTCATGGCGAGTTCCTATTTCTAAGATAACACTGCAACACTAAGTATTATTATTGCAGCATGGGAGAAATTGCAGTGTGGTTGGCATGGAAATCTCTCCCTATAATTTTAAAGCACTTAGTTCACATTAGAAGTCACTTTTCTTTTCCTGTGGGGAGGCTTTTCTTCTGCGTCTACAAGTACAAGAATTTGAAACCGTCTACTGTTTTTCTTTTTCTTTTTCTCTTTAACTTTCTTTTAAAGATTCACAGATATGTCGATGCACCGTCTTTGTGTTAATGCATTCACATCGGGCTTGTTTGCTTTTGGGACTGCTTACAATGCCCATTATGAGATTGGACAAGCCATTCATTACAATTACCCGAAAAAAAAGAAGAAAGCAAGCAGGACAAGTGTAAGTGGAATTGATCGTATCCTCACTGCTTGTATCTGCAGCTGCCAATTGATGACCTGGCGTAACTAAAAGCTCCAGCATCCAGAGAGTTCACATTTTCTGCAGCTTGTTTTGCATTTGTGTATGTGCGCGTATAAAAAACTTTGCATGCTACCGAGACACACGGAGACACAGGTAGCTGGTGCTCTTTTTGTTTCCCATTAGCTACGATTAAAGGTTTTGTGAAGATGTGTTCGGCAATTTGTTCAGAAGGAGTTTAAGTGCATTGTCACCTTTGATGAATTAGGGTGCATTGCATTTGTGTAGGCGAGTACATTACAGTATGTGCTTACATACCGAGCGGGGGAACTTGTTCATTAATAACCGTGCAAAAGAATGTCCTTGGTAACACCTTCAGATGTGCCTGGTCGCCTCTGATTTTAGTTTTAATGTATGTTTACTGTTAGAAAAAGTAGCATTTTGGATTGCTATGTGATGTTTCACTTGTTCTGCTTTTTAATGTTTTTGATTACAAAGGTGAGAATAATCTTGGGTCATGTTTGAAAAAAAAACAAGTTAAGAAGAAAAGCAAAAAAAACCCAGAAACAGCCTGGAGTTCAACTTCAACCTGGAATACAGAAACTTCTGTTAAGGTGAGCAGCAGGAAAGAAGAAGGAGGATGAAGAAAACACTCCCGCTGCGCTCTATAAGGAGAAGTAAAAAAAAAGGTGGAGGATTAAATCAGGCAGCAGAGAAAGGATAGGACGAGGGGCAGACAGAGCAGCCGCTCTGACCCCAGGATTCCACGGGCAGTGTTTACCTGGCGCAGGTTGCGGGTGACGCGCACATCGTGCCAGGCGTTGTCGTTGAACTTGCCGTTGACGGGCTCCACGAGGGCCTCGAACGCCCCCGAGCCCAGGTTGATGACCAGCCAGACGGCGCCGCTCTTCAGGGAGAGGTTGACGTAGTCCGCCGACTTTCCGGTGTGCAGCATGAGGCCGTTGCGTTGCAGCGTGCGGAAGGAGAGCGTGATCTCGTCCGTGCTGCTCTGGATGGGCGTCAGGGACAGGTCGTAGCAGAAGAACTCGTTGCCCTTGAAGGTGGCGACCGACTCTTCCTTCCCTGGAGAAACAAAAGACAGAAAAAAGGTTCGCTAAAATGAACAATTTTGAAATTAAACGACGTGGGTTGCTGGTTTGGCTCAGTTGTACTGCTCAGTGTCGTAAACATGCACTGGTCACAGGTTCTCCAGTCCTGTCATTATTTGGTGCAAGTCTACAAGCATACACTTCAAAACTGTTTGTATTTATGCACTCCTGAAACTATTCAAGGACAGCCTGCGCCTGAAGTGGTCCACAACATTTTTAATCACACAAGTCCCTCACAGCAAGAAGTTTCCCCTGTAAGTCACGGGTGGAGACCATTTGACCTTCAAATGACAGTACCGCCGTGATGATTATAGCTTATCTAATATGGCGTACAAAGAAGATTTTTTTTTCTTCATTTTTTTGAAGGGGGCGTTCCAATTGACACTTTCGACTGGGAACTCGGAATTTCCCACTTCTGAGAATAACTGGAACGCAGCATAACTCGTGCTCACCTTCAGGCTTAGTTTCACCCGAGGATGTACAAGCAAGATTTTGTAACATCTGAACCAGTTCAGAGGTCAATCACACGCAACCTATATGATATACGATATGCAACCTACACATGACGTCTGTTGAGACCTGAAGACTTCAGCACAGACGCACTCAGACTCTACAGTTGAGTTGGTAGCATATTTTACCGAGATGCCTTACATTATTTCATGAAAATATTTACATATTTACATGGTGTATTCTACATTTTATTATGGGAAGTGAGTAGAGATGCTTTCAAGAATTATAAACTAGTCACTTTACCTTTTTTTAAGTAGAAAAACAATATGAGACCCAAATTATAGGTCATTTTAATATTCAAGGCAAAGTATTTCTAAACCTCCTACGAGACGCCTGAAGGGAAACTTTATTAAAAAGCAAGATGAAGCCAGAATTGAGATTTTTAAGGCCAAAAGTACTCAGTGAGCAGATTAACTCCTAAGCACTGGTACTGCCCTGTTTCACTCAGCGAGAAACTACTGAGAAATACTTTGGGATAAAACATATTAGTTTTGCTTATTGATTAGAGCGGACCAACATTGATCATTGATGCAGCTCTTATGCACAGAGAGCATGATTTTATTATGATATCTCCATGAGTGGATCATAAGACAAGGAATAAAACAGCAGAATGATGAATGAGCAAAGCAGGCAGCTGGGTAAGGACAAGATAGGAGTGTTTTTTGAATCAGGCAGAAGAGAAGACGTTAGATACAATTAGAAGGAGAGTAAAGATGCCAAGAAGAGACAAAGTTGATTAAAAGAGTAACTCGAAAAAAAAGCCAAACAGGAGAGGCAGAAGAATGAAAAGGTGTTGACAACTCTGCTAATGCGTGTCAGTGTGTTTGCAGCAACATGGCCTCCTTCCACCGCAGAGAGCTGCACCAGTCAAAACACCCAGTTTGTACAATGGACACATGTCAAACAGCAGCCCAACAGCAGCAGCAGGGGAGGACACGGTGTGCATCTGTCACAAACTGAAAAAACACCTGCTGCATCTGTCACAACAGAGAGCACCACGGCAACAACTCTTGAGACAGTGACACGTCAATCACACGAGTCAAAGAGCCGAGCCGGTGAGCAAGGGATGGACATTCATATCTTATTGTGTTTCTATTTACATACAAACTACCAGAGTGCAAGGACCTGCTGTTTTAATGATTGCAAAAACAACTGATTTGTCATCTCAGTACTTTTTGAAGCAAAAGATGTTCACTGCTTTTCTTTTCTTTTCACTGTTATTTATTTGGACACAAAATAAATTTAAAGACATCACTTCATGCTCTGGGGAATAGTTTAAAGCATTTTACTCCACTTTTTCCACATCTTAAGACTCAGAAATGTATCAGTTCATTGCAAAAATGTCTTCATGTTCATCAGTTAATAAATGAGCTGCAGTGAGGGATGTTAAATTACACTCGAACTATCGCAATATGATATAATATGAACCCCACAGCTGGGGTAACAATACTCTTTTCCTTAAGATTTTTTTTGGGGCCATTTTTGGACGAGAAAGCTGAAGAGAGACAGGGGGATGACATTCAGCAAAGTGTCAAAGTCAGACTTGAACCCACGGCCGCTTTGAAGCTAAGCTGACAGCTGAAGAGAGACAGGAAATGTTGGGAGGAGAGAGAGGGGGTTAGACATGCAGCAAAGGGTAGAGGTCAGATTTGAACCCCCGCCCGCTGCGCTGAGGACTATAACCTCTGTACAGGGGGCACACGTCAAATCCACTAGGCAATCGGCGCACTATTACATGCTTATTCTTTGGAACATTACTTTGTCTTTCCCCTTGTTAACTTTGACATGAAGACAAACTATAAATTCAAAGTATGAGTCATTTCATGTACAATATGATATATAATATGACCTCATGGAAAGAAAACACACCATACCAGTGACAAAGACATATCTCAAATCTCAAAAAACTCCTCCAGCTAACAGGTGGTACGTAGCAACTGGTTTCCAAACACAAACTGTGATCTGAAGTGACACACTCCTCTTCCTGTGTACGTTTGCCCCTCCTCACCTCTGTCTCCCTGGGGAGCTCAGATTGAAGAATCAGCCTCAGGTAATGAGGTTTACGCCTGAAAGAAGAAAAAAAAAAGGAAAGAGAAGGGAGAGGTACCTCGCCAAGAGGCTCCTGTACGGGTGGATCATCAAATCTAGTTTATCCTGAAGTTCCATTTCAGCAGAATCACTCCAAGACATCAGCGCATTTCCCCCGGGGGAGAGAGAGAGAGAGGCCAGGGCTGGCCGGAGGGAAGAGGGGAGGTGGTCCGTTGGCAGACAGATTGAAAGTCAAATCTCATGAGCAAGAGAGTTCACTACAGGCGCAATCTCAGGCCCAGAGAAGAAGAGTGGTGATGGATAACAGTGAGAAAGCTGCACGCTTTGTACCCAGATATGACCATAGACAGGTCAATGTGTGGGACGGTTCATGAGCCAAAGTTTTTACAACGTTTCATTCATGGCAAGAAGAAGCATCACCGCTGTTGAAGGTTTATTAAAAAGGAAAAATCTCCAGCAGGTAGGAGACAAAGTGTTGTGTTAAGTGTCACACTGACCGCTATACATCTCCAACAATGAAGGCGATGATAGAGATCCCTTTGAGATGAACAAAGCCACATAATAACGGTGCATGCTCTCACATGAAAGAAAACACTTTACGTATGCGGGGAGGGGGGGGGGGGGCACAAGGAAGTGAGGGACGAACGGCATCCAGACAGAGACGGCTACTTAAAAGAGCATTTTGGCTGGAATCGAAATTTAGAGCAATCTCAACTGAAGTGTGAATTGTCATCTGAAAAAAGGCATCAAAGGAGAAAGGAAAAGATGGAAGAGATGGGGGGGGGGCCGAAGCAAATCCCCCAAGAGCAGCCTCCTGGCAGCGCCTGCGATGCTGATGTAGGGAGAACAAAAGCGTACCAAATGGACCAAAGCAAGCATATTCAATTATGTATTGCGTTGGACCCCCCCCCCCTCCACAAAGTATGGACTGTTAACTGTAAGCAACAAACAGCTTGTGATTGTTTCCATGAGCTCAGCGCGATGGAGCAACATGCATCGTAGAGAGAGAAGGGCTGCAAACCAAAAAGAAAGGCCTTTTTAATGACTAGAAGGCTGAGAGGAGGAGATGAAGCTGGAGAGGATCAAGGTGTGACGGGGGGGGGGGGGGGGGGGAATATAACAGTAATTCCCTTTTTGATAAATTATTTTAAAAACGCAATTAAACGATTTTGTTCTTGTCTCTAAAGCCAAACCTCAACGGTGATGTTATACATTTTGTCATCCTGAAATTGTCATTGAACATTAACCTATAGGTTGCTACAAATAAATAAAATAAATGAATCAATGCATTGGAGTCAGATCCCACAGAGTAGACAGATGGCTGGAGTGTTTCAAAGACATGTTATTTAAAGTAACATCTCTCTCCCCTGTAAGTATGAAGGACACAGATATTGAAATTGTACCAGAGTAAAAGTATCTTGGCACAATAATTGACAACAAACTGACACAAATGCAAAGTATGCAAAGGCTCAACAGCGCCTCTATTTTTTGAGGAAACTAAGACATTTTAATGTTGACAGCACTATGCTGAACTTATTTTACAAGACTTTTATTAAAAGTGTGCTGACCTTTTGTATTCAGTGTTGGGGAGGAGCACTGTCCTTACAAAATAAGAACAAACTGGACAAGGTTGTTAAACTAGGCAGCAAGATAACTGGGAAGCAAATTTACAGCATTTCTTTCCTGACAGACCTATACACTGAATTTAGCCATCATGATCACAGATGACCCTCTGCACCCCCTTTGGTCAGAGTATGAACTCTTGAACTCAGGGCACAGGTACAGAATGCCCAGGATGAGGACTAAAAGAGGCATTACATCCTTTGTACCGCGCAGCTGCTTAATAAAATCTGATTATACAGGACGAACTCGGCACTCTTCACTTTATTTAACTTGTTTAAATCCCTCATTGAATCATGTGATGCTTTAGTGTGTTTTTATGTGTTCTTATGTGCTGTCCTGTAAATGTTTGTTTGTATTGTGTTTTTTATGCTCTCTGTGCAAGGCAAATTCCCCTAGAGGCAATAAAGGTTTCATTCATTCATTCATTCAGCATTACCTTGGTCAGAAGGTCAGAACTCAAAATGTTTGCATTTCACACACTCCCCTACCCTTTACATTGACCACATAAACAATCCCAAGTGAGATGCATGGACCTCATTCATGGGAAACACTATCTAAATACCAAGTTTTATAAAAGTCTCACTCCTCTCCAGCTCTACCATCTTGTTCATACGTATATGATTAAACCATCATCATAAGAAAACCATATGGCGACAACTCCAGTACCAATCTTCAGGCTTCAAAACTACAGTCAACAAAGCAATGGATGATCTTATGCAGGGGATGTGCAATGCTCATATCCATGGCTTTATTAAACAGTTTTCTGAATCCCCTATATGCTCCAGGA